ATATATATATATATATATATATATATATATATATATATATATATATATATATATATATATATATATATATATATATATATATATATATATATAGTTTTTCAATAGAGCTGTGTTATATGTTAAAAATTAATTAGTATGAACTTTTTAAAGTAAATTATCCATAAATCATAATATTTCAGTTACCAATGCATATGCATAAATTCCTTTTTAGCTTACACGTATTAATTCTTTCCCTAGTGATGATATATTATAGGATATCTTCATCTGCTCTACGGATTTGAGTTGAACATGAGGAATAATAACTCATTTCATAAATTACCTATCAATAAATTGAAGGCCAGAGAGACCATTGCAAAGACTTTGCACAATTAATAAGATTCGAGTTTGAATGCCTTGCGTATTAAAAATCGGACAATCATATCCAAAAGCTTTTTGATCTTGTTGCTGTTGAGAAGTGAAAGTTCCTTATTTTATTTTCTTGTAACTTTCATTAATAGACATATGGTTTGCAGTTTCTATTAAGGAACTATAGAAAGGTGCATGATCCTCGTCCTCCTTGAAATGGGACGGGTGAGTTTTATGGCACTCAGAAAGTGAAATAAATGGAGAACATAAGTGAGCGTACGTTTATGCTCTCTGTGACCCATTGTAGCATCATCTTCCGCACAGAATGAGGGAATTCACTCACTCCATTAATGCTGAACCATTCATGACCGATCCACGAGGAAAAGGGTTGCAGGGAGACGGATGGTTGAGGTGGTGGAGCGAAGGAGTAGTTGCAAGAGTTAGCTTCTGGTTTTTACTCGACCCGTGAGGACTTGTTGGCTGCTGTTTCGTTCTCCGGTGAGGTGCAGTCGTGCTTCCCGAAAGAGAAGACGAGGGCGTGGTGCAATCATGAAGCTGGGAATCCCATGGATCACGCCCTCGCGTTTCTGAAGCCGTAAGGAACAAGCAATGCCTACCGAAGCTACGTAAAAGCACTATTTTGCTGGAGCACTTGTAGTAATCATCACTTGTTCTACGATTGCACGTGAATAAGTGTTTGATTAACATAATATAATGAGTTTGCCGTATAAGTCTTCCCATTTCTACAGTGATATGAGATATTTTGGTATTACCTTACGACGATAGTTACCTCGGAACCAACGTGATATCTCCGAATCGACATAACATGCATATATAAAAGTAACACAATTAATCGCATCTTAAAAAGATAAAAAATAATAATAATCACGTCGCTCGGATCATACGAAACAGCATACAAAATCGAATAAGATATCTCTGCATGGTATAGAATCGGAACAGTCGGCTCATACCTTCCGGAGTGGACGAATCAATCGCTTGGAATGTCGAGAGTCATTAAAAGCTCGCATACAACTAATCTTTGACGAGAGGTATAAAACGTTACTCCAGGACATATGTCAGGATATTAATCATTATTATCAAAAAAATTGACTTAAACTTCGGAGAGATTGGGCAATATATCCCCTTTCTCGATATCGACCTATTGTATAGGAACTGGACATCGAATGTAACCTTACGTCGAATGGAACCTTGGTTCCTGGAGAATGGACAAGTTCAAGAATGGAAATTCCAAGTTCCGTTTGCTTCTCTTATTAGCTGGGCTACTAACTAGCAGCACGACGTAGGAGCTTACAATCTAGTATTTGATCCCTTTTAAGATCAAACTGAGATCATAAAGGAGCATCCTCCTTGAACTAATCATCAGTTTGATATCTTAACTTGCCGTGACTGTGTAAGCTTGTTTCAGTGAAGAATGACAGCCAGCAAACCAAGAGTAGCTAAACATTTCTCTTTAATTTGTTTAGTGCCAGCAGTTGGAGGATTCAAATGCTACAGGAGTTTTCTCTGAGCGGACAAACGAGCTGCACTGTCTCACTCGTGGGTGAAGTCATAACAAGGCACAGATTATAGAACAAAGTTAATCGGCATCGTGACCCTCACAACATTAACTGCTTAGGACGGAGAGAGAGAGAGAGAGAGAGAGAGTGATTGATCGAGCTCACGGTACAGTACTAATAATACGAAGGGCGACGGAGAATAGTACGAATCTGCGTTGGAAGAAGCGGGGGATTGGGGAGGGCACACTGTGGGCGCAGCGGAGCAGCTCTGTGACCAGGTCCCCTTCTCTGTGACTGCGGGTCCAGCTTCTATCTGCAGCAACTCATGTGCGTCGCCTGCTCGCCGCTCGTCATTTTGCGCGGCCGAGGGGCTCCAATATGAGGAGGCGGCAGGCAGCCCGGATACGATTGGTGGCTGTCCTTCACCTGGTGCCCACTGTTTCCGTCAGAACTGCTTCCGTTACGTTTTCACGAACGTAGTAAGTTCCTAATTTCTACAAGACATTTTAGGATGAGTTTGATCTATGGATACTAAATCTTTGAATTATTCAGATAAGAAATGAGATCAAGCAGTTCGACCACTTGTTGACATAGTATTCTCCTCTGGAAGCTCCATTGGCAAATACTTCCAAGAAGCATTTAGGAAAACATGGGTGCTGGTGAAGTATTCGTATCTATGCCTGCAACCAAGAAAAGATAAGCTTCTTAATATATCTTTATCGTGCATTTTTCATGTGCCCCAGAAGTTATGTCAACTTGAAGGCCAACATGATCGAACTAGTATGGTGCTTTAGAAATCAATTGTTGGAAATATTTATATAAGTATCATGAGAGAATAGTCTCATATTATTAATTATTGAAAGAGTCAGATTATATATATATTAGATTTAACTCATAATTTAAAAGTTTAAATTTTAGGATTGAATTGATATCTGTCATGATATATGTTAACATTAACTAGAATGATTCAAATTAGCCATTTCAAAATTTTTGATATGATCTTAGAGCCAAAAATAAAAATAAATTATATTGCCATGGATAGACGCAGATGAGTGAATCGTCCCGTAGCATCGGAAAAGATGTAAACTCTACTACTCATAATCGAGAAACTGAAGGGTTGATTCGGTGTTAATCCCGATATATGTTAACATATATTCGGGCTTTACTACGTTATAAATTGACTAATGAATTGAAATCTGTCACAATGGGATCAACCTTCTTGTTGAAGACCTCACGATCATGATGCAAGTTACAGTAAGAAATTTGGTTGAATTGAATCCACAATTTTTTACAGTAAGAAATTTGGTTGAATTGAATCCACAATTTTATACGTGTTAATTGATGTATTATGGTCATCAGCACCTAAAAATGGTTTATCATCTCCACGCTGTATCAGTCATCGTTCATGCGTTATAGAGCATGGCAAATCCGTAATGAATCATTCACGCTTACTGTGCAGCTTTATTGCTCGGAAGTTACAGTACCCGAAGTTAGACTTGATCGCTGATATTATTAGGATCAAAATTTTCGAGGGTGAGAATACAATGTACAGATCCTACTTGGAAGTGACTCTTTCAGAAGCCATAGAGGACCAGCTGCTGGTTGAGCCCCTCTGGAGCTAAAGCTGTGGTGCACCGACTACTGGCGATGGAGGCAAGCACAGCTCTCTCCACCTCTCTTGGGACTCGGCTGTGAAGCAAGGAGATGATGTAGTCCATGCAGGCGGCTTCGCACGGCAGCGTTATCGGCCCATCGGTCGGCAAACCGAACTCTTCCTCGGACATCCTCAGGAGCTCCCGGAAGATGCTGCTGGTTAGATACTTCAAGGGCACCATGAAGCGCTTGCCGTCGGTGGTGTACATGAACACATGGCCTTTGCTTGCAACCAGAGAACTGGGTGAGTCTGCTGTAGCACTAGTATCTGAATTCTTCGACATGATTCTTCTCCTACCCAAGGCAGACACCTTCTGCCACTTCCTCACCATCTTGATGAGCTTCTTTGGGTTCAGCATGGCTGCTGTTTGTGAAGGCTACAAGAATGCTTTGAGGCACAAGATGTAGGAGAACAGGGTTGGTGAGGGTTGTGAGGCACAAAGAAATAGGACGGATCGAGCAGTACATATATAGATAGATGAGCAAGAAAGGACATTCCATGTGGCAGTGGAGTCATGGACCAAAACCATGTGCTGATTGGATAAGCTAGCTGCCCTTGTAGTTGCATGTCTGGATTTTGGCGAAGACTCTTCTCTTGAGGTGGGGAAGACAACACGGAAACAGCCACATGGTAGCTGGGCCAATATCATTTTGTCCTTTTATATAAGATATGAAGCATGACAAGCTTACCAAATATGCAGGTGCTCTTGAGATGAAGCATGATAGGATTAGCCTAGATGCTCTTGTTCATTGTATAATGCAAGACATTATATGTAAGACATCATATAGTTTAATTGGTAAAAATTTTGACAATATATCGTAAGATACCTAAATTTCTTCTTCACTACTTATATTTTATTATTATTATTATTATTTTGGGACATAACACGAGTTGCTGCTCATGAGTGCCACAATTACAAAGATGTTGATGTACGAATATGCTAATGTTTTCTAAAAGCTAAGTGCATGTGATAATGTCCCTCTAACTTGGAGTTTCTTCTTTCTTGGTGGATCATGCATGGCAATCATTGTTGACAAGCATCATTGTCTAGTATCAGAAGGAAAGAAAAACCATGGTGAATCTGTATCTTTCTTCGGTATCGTTTGGTGAGAGGCAGAGTCATGTGCTTGGGAGACCTGAAAACGATCTGAGAGTAACCCTTGTTGAACTGGTTGGATCCATGCCTCATTGATAGTGATGCTTATCTGAACAGTTATCATCCTATTGTGGCTTGTGGCTATCTTTCTGTGACATGCTATCGTACATGCCATGCAACGTTTGATATTCTGTCTGCTTCCAACTTGCACTTCTTTTTTCTATAATTTTTGAAGATCTTTCTGGAATGCAGTTCGATACAACTCACCGAAGACTCTTGCCATCCATGAGAGAGAAAGAGAGAAAGAGAGAGAGAGAGAGAGAGAATTGTGATGTCACATGGAACTGGGGCTTGAGAAAGACCCACTTGTACCAATGGACAGTTTCTTCAGACAAGGAGGGCAAGCTTGTTGTTTGCTGTTCCAACTTACTTTGGCATCTGGTGCTTTTTTACTTTACCTACATGTTTGGGGAGGGGCAAACATGCGTCTATGGATGCAATCTATCCACGAACTATTTCATGAAGGCTTTTTAGGTGGACGAATCTGAACTGCAAGAGTTCCTGGATACGTATCATAGATCCTATATATCGGGTGTGAGAATCCGATATCCGACCCAAAATGTTGGATGTCAATCCTCATTTGGATCTGTATAACTATCAGTTCCGGGTCCATGTGGATGCAATTGAGTCCGACCCGGTAACGTTCCTGCTCATAGCGTCGCCGGTCATTGGTGTGGACTGAAATCCACACAGACATCGGTTGGTCGACCTCATCGAGGGAGAAGGGAGTATGGGCGGCGGCGGAGGGCACGGTGAGAGCACGACGTACAAGGGCTTCACCATCCACCACCCCAAGCGGTGGCACGTCGTGACCGGGAAGGGCCTCTGCGCCATCATGTGGTAACTTCATCTTTCCCCCAGCCGCGAACCCTAACCCTCTGCATCCCTCTTTCCTTTAATTGTGATGTGATACGTGGTGTCGATTTTGGTGATGTGATCTGGTACTATTAGATGATGAATTCGTGAGAAAAACCTAATTCTCCCGCTTTTGGGGTTATCCTAATCCCTGATCTATTTGTCATCGTGGTCCTTGGACCGTATTTTAGAACCTGTAATCTCGATCTCGACTTTCTTGATCTTGGTATATGCATCGTAGACACTAACCACCAATATCTCGCATATACAGTGCTAATCTAAGCTCTCTTTGCGACTTGGACGCGTCCCCTGGTAACACTATTTTACTGTTATCATTTGTATCTTTAGGAGAGTCAGAAATCATAAGAAACTTTAATAAGTTATTTATTTGGATAGTTCATATTGATCTATTGCTGAAGACCATTTGATTGGTTCTATTGTTCTTTGTGGCATTCCATCTGTCACATATTTGACTAAGTATGGGAAGTTGTCGCCAGATGATGCTTATTCTGTAACCAGTCGTCTGATTATTGATTTGTCAAGTCCAGAAACACTTGCAAAGCTCATTTCCCAATTAGAAGCAAACTGCAAGTTTTAACTGATTCTCTTTTTTTCGTGCTCACCAAAACCATCTTTATCAGCTATCTGACTTCTTTACATTTCTCAATAATAGCTTCCTTCCAACATGAATTGGAATATTATATCAGGGAGATGTCTATGCTATATTTAGCAAAAAAATATATTTTAATAAAATAAGTATTGACTGCATCATATAAATATATAATTTAGCAAATGACTATTATATATGTTATGCAAAAGATTCATGCAAGTATACAATAGTGTGCACTAACCCTTCCTAGATCGTGCATTGGCAAGAACCTTGCACACCAATTAAAGTTGGTTGATTCTTGATTTTGATTGATTTTGACAAGAGGTTGGGAAATTGGTCAAAATTAAATTCTGACAAATATGGATCCAGTGCATCATACTGGATGCGGTTCATACTAGGAAATATTCTCCTAATCAGTTGGTTACTGTCTTGAAGCACAAAGGGCCTGTAGCTGAAAATTAATTTATCCCAGAAATTACTCCATTCCCTTACTCTCATACCAAATTTCATTTTTCAGTTTTGTGTGTCTCTATTGGCAGAAGGTTTTCATTGAAGACATTTACTATGAAAATTCTCTCTCTTTCTCTCTCTCTCCCTTGGTTTCTGTGACTTACGAAACTACTGCTGATGATTGCAAGAATATGTTGTGCTCTTGAAGCATGATGTCAGGACTTGGGATAGAAACCACTCAATGTATATATATTGATAGAAAATCTTAAAAGCTAGATAGGATACCACAGTGGGATTGTGCCTTCACAAAACATTGATTTAGAATAACAGATAAATTGTCAAACACTGCTGAAAAATATGCTTTAGGTAACAATCCAAACTTTTATATGGAAATATCTCTCTGTGAAAGAAATAGAAAGTGTCATTTATTTGATTAATCAACAATATAATATCATAACAATGGAGATATGAATTAAGGTGTCTATTATGGTGCATCAATTTCTGATCAATCTTTGAGCAAGAAATAAAGATATATGGGAAGTAATGCACCTGTGCAGCAGTTGTATGTAATTTATCTTTAAGATCCAAAAGTGACAGTGAAATATATATTGGAGAATATTCTTGTGCCGTGTGTGAGTAGTGTCTGTTGTTATCTTTTCTTCTTTAAATGGTCCTCGTGCCATCGGTCTGGCATTATCATTTGGATATGAATTTGATATTCTGATACAAGATTATACATGTTTGGATGTGTATCTACTGTTTTCCTGATACAAGATTATACATGTTTATTCATGTCTTTTCTAATTGATGCGAAGACATTGTTACCATTCGCGTCACTACAAATAATTAATCATTTTCAACTCAATCACATTTTTTTTGTATGATTTAAGTCTAAGAATAAATAGGTCCTCTTTTTGGTTGATAAATGTTTTCATATCCTTCATTATCTGTTTAAATTAACTATGTTAAGTGATCCTGTGTTTTATGATCTTGTTAGACTTGTATGGTATGGAGAATTGGTCAGGTTTGGACTTCTAGAATTGAAAATTACCTTTTTGATGATGTATCTTCTTCTGAATGCAATTTTCATTTTCGCCCTTGAGTGTGATGGAAGAAGATGTGCAAAGGCTCTGGTGCATAAAGTTGTCTCCACCGGCTTTGACTACAATGTTGGCATCTGATTTTCTGGGACAGCAAGTGTCGACAGCTTGCATATGACTTGTAGATGCCATTGAGTTGAAAGAACTAGTTATTCTTGAAGTGTAGTAATTAGCATAGAAACAATGTAACCCAGTTGCAGATATTTCCTTTTGCAGGTTTTGGGTACTTTACAGGGCTAAGCAAGATGGTCCAGTAGTATTGGTAATTTCTCTTTTGGAATATAACTACATCCACTGACTCCTTGCCATTTAATAATTTTAATATAAAATTATGATACCATAACTTTGTTCATAGGGTTGGCATCATCCTTGGGAAGGACATGGTGACCACTCTCATGACCATGAGGTACGACAGTGCAACTTATGCCTTGAGTTCATCGGATGCCTCCATAGACATGGAAATATTTCGTAATTTTGTTTGTGCTTTTACATGTGTGAAAATTACGTGTCTTCTTTCTGCTTGACTTAGAATACGTTGACATATGAGCATTAAGAACCATACATATTTCTTTTTGTTTGCATTGTTTGCCTAACTTCAGTTGCCTTATCACCTCTAGTAAAGAAGAAAACCTCTTAATAACTTTGTGCATGTATTGTGTTTGGCTTGGGCCAGTTAATTGCTAGGTTTTTCTGGGCTATTTCCAGTGTACCTTGTTTAGTAAATCTAGTATCACATCACTATCAATTTTAGTTATGAGAGATTAAAAGGGAGATCCTGTGCATGATTTCAGTCGATGCAAGGGTGATGTGCTTACCATTACACTCTCAGTTGTTGCAAGACGCCAGTGATATTTCATCATCTAACCGGTTTACTCCTGTTAAGAACACGCATGCTACTGGTTTTGCACAGATAAATTGAAGTTCTTGATTAATAAAGTTGGCATTTCAACTTCCATGTCACGCAGGCATCTCACTAGGGTCCTCATTGAGGCTACAGAGGGAGTCCAGCTTGTTTCACTGGAGTGCTTACCGAATAAAGTTGGGTGTGAGATATGGATCTGAGATAAAGATGGTCGTCTTTGTCTCCTGTTTACTGACAACTCATTTCATTTGATTTTATTATCTTCTTTATATGTGACAGGTTGATTCTGATATATTAAATGAGTTTGACAACTCATTTAAAGAGTCATCCCTTCTTGTGGCAAAAGGAAGCAATGGCCATTCCCCAAAGTTAAAGTGAGCATCCATTGCCATACACTAGGAACCGCTCGTTTAAAGAGTCAGAATAATTGGATCACTTTATTATTGTGGTGAGCTCTCACTATCATCTATGTCTGCCTAACTTTTTGGCTTTGCCAAACAATCATCACATGTTTTGTCGCTATTTATTGCTCATTATATCATTCTCTGTTAGCTTCTAGTTCGTCTTTGGTTGATCAAGATGACGAGGGAACAAGATTCGCCGAAAAGCAACACTAGCCTTTTGAATAAAAATGTCTCTAAA